ACCCAGTACCACTGCCTGGATGCCTCCCAAACAGATCAAGCCAATCAACTGTCTCACCTATTCAGAGGGCCTGATCCAGTTGGGGGCTCCTCAGCCATTGGTTCATAGTTCATGTGTTTCCATTCGTTTGGCTATTTGTCCATGTGCTTTATCCCACCTTGGTTTCAACAATTCTCGCTCATATAAACCCTCCTCTTTCTCGCTAATTAGACTCCCGAAGCTCCACCCGGGGCCTAGCTGTGGATCTCTGCATCCAATTCCCTCAGTCATTGGATGGGGTTTCTAGCACGACAATTAGGGTGTTTGGCCATCCCATCACCAGAGTAGGTCAGTTCCGGCTGTCTCTCGGCCATTGCCAGCAGTCTATTGTGGGGGTATCTTTGTGGATTTCTGTGGGCCTCTCAAGCACTTTGTTTCTTCCTTTTCTCATGTGGTCTTCATTTACCATGGTCTCCTATTCCTTGTTCTCCCTCTCTGTTCTTGGTCCAGCTGGGATCTCCCGCTCCCCGAAGCTCTCTTTCCCTCGACCTTAGCCTGGAAGGGCTCTCTTAAGCAACTGTGAGGACCACATAGTGACCAAATGAATTCTCATTTAAGATGGGAAAAAATCAGAGCAATAGAATGGCCTTTGGTGCTGACCCCTGGTAGGTTTCTCAAAGCTAGAGGTCAGCTCAGCCCTCCTAAGGAAAAGGAGCTGGGGTGAGGTTTTTCTTGTACCCTCACTCCTACTTCTTAGTTTCTAAGTATACATTCTTTCTTCTCTATCTAACCCATTGAATCAATGAAGAAAGAAAATAGAAAGACCCTAAAATATTTTCTATACCCAGCCTGTTTTGCTGACATTCCAACAAAACAATTTATGGAGCTTTGGCTCAATCACCTGTAACACACACAGAGAGAGGATGGGGGAGATCTATTACACATCATGACGTCTCGAGATAATATCACCATGTTACATACCTGATAATTGCTGTGACAGATTTTATGTGTTCTAATGACAAAAAGTAGATGTGATATATTTTTATAAAATAACTTCATTTAACCATCTCGTAATATGTATGTGTATCAGAACATGATTTTGTGCACAACAATATAATCAGTATTTCTCAATTCAGCTAAAAATTTTAAAGCTAATATACTTCTATATAAACATTATACTTGATCATAGCCAAAAGGCAGAGAAGGAATCTATACTCACATTGAAAGACAGGATTTTTTTAAGAGTTTATGATACATCATTAAGGTTCACCCAATTGAAATCAGTGAAAAATTCTTTCAGATTCTTTCAGTCTGTAGATTTCTATGTATTCCTTACATAAACTGAGATCCTATCACACATCAGTAGTTCTCAATGTGTAGACCACAGACTATTGCAGGTTCCTGAAAACGTATGGTCAAAACCACTCTCAAAACAATCCTAATGTGTCATTTACTGTTTTCACAGGACTGACATTTGGTACCAGATTACCAGTGTCATAGCAGGATCAAGACAGTGAAGACAAACTACACTAATAATAATTGCATTTCTTTACAGTGGCATACTCAAATTCTTAGAATCAGTTTTATTTTTAAATGTTTTGATAAAATCCTTATTGATTATGAAATCACCCATATGCTAAACTTCAATGCTTGAGTGCATGTCCTTCAAATATTCTGTGTGACCAAATAGGAGGTACACTCAAAACAGCGTACTGCTGTCTTAAGTCAATGGTTTCTTGAAGAAAAATATTCATACAATTATTTAAGTTGGCGGTTCTCAACCTGTGGGTCTCAACCCCTTTGGGTTGAATGACCCTTTCACAGGGGTCTCATATCAAATATCCTGCATGTCAGATATTTACATTATGATTCATAACAGTAACAAAATTGCAGTTATGAAGTAGCAACAAAAATAATTCTATGGTTAGGAGTCACCACAACACGAGGAACTGTATTAAAGGGTCGCAGTACTAGGAAGGTTGAGAACCACTGATTTATTTAAGTTGAAGTAGCTATTGGTCATGGAACATCATTTTTACTTAAGGACGACTTTCTGTTAATCTATAGCTTTGCACACATGAATTTGGCAGACATTTTCTTGAAAGATATCTGAAAACCCTTTGAGGAAATCATTTCACAGGACTTGTCCCCAACAATAAAACCTTAACTTTTAGGAAGAGCAAAATTTTGGAGAAGCAGAATGCTCATCTGTAAGCTTGATTGTTTACAGTACTTGAAAATTGTTCTGGGGACATTAGTAATCATAGCAAAAGTAGTGGCCTTTCCCCCATTTCCATCCTTCTAGGGAAAAGCTAAACGAAGGCTTTGGAGCCTAGAATTGCTCTTACCCAGTTTTAATGGTATTGTGCCCATGACATTCAATAAGTAATAGCATTGCTGTGATGAAGATAGACTCATCCTTAATAAGGAGAGTCTGAAAAGATGTCAGTCCTGACATAGTCATGTCTTTTCTGCATGACTTACAGTTTGTATTTGAGCTCATACACTGCAGAGGGGTACACCAGAAGCCGTTAGCTTAATCCCAGTTGCCGAGGTAATCACTGGCATCTTCCTTTGCTCTGATTGACACTGGAAACTTCTATCCCCTTAAATGAAACCTATTCTGTACAAAATGTATGTATCCTGGCTTATGAATGAGCAAAATAATCCTATAATAGACATTTTATTCTCAAAGTCTAGATTTGAGTGTCTTAAATCACATCCCATGTGAAAATCAACAGCATAAAGTAGAGATCTGGAGCTTAAAACAGTCGTTCTTTAAAGTATTTAACTTAGTGCAATAATAACAATAGGCACTAGAAACTGGGCATCAGCTGTGTGTTATTTTATTGTTCCTGAAACATGACCACTGAAACCTTCCTTACGAATTGGATGGGATCAGTTTTTTCTAAGAACACTGAGAACTTTCCTAGTGAAAACAGTGAGTAGGCCTGAAGGGGGATTCAACATAAAAGATAAAGAAATTAAGGAAGCTTAATATAAGAATCCCTTTCCACTTCAAACTGTCAGAAGACCTCTGAGGGAATAGGTTTCTAAATTAAACTTATTCATTACTTAAATGTAATACAAGTTGAATTTACCACCTTGCCTGATCTCTTTGGTTGAACTAAGAATACTGTAACTGAAATAAGTGATCTAGGAAATCTTGAGCCTCTTTGGGCTTTTAAAAAAATTAGTTCCCTGGGCATATACCCAAGGAATGCTGATTCATACCATAAAGATACATGCTCAGCTATGTTCATAGCAGCACTATTTGTAATAGCCAGAACCTGGAAAAAACCTAGATGCCCGTCAACGGAAGAATGGATGAAAAAAATGTGGTACATATACACAATGGAGTACTACTCAGCAGAGAAAAACAATGAAAGCATGAAATTTGCAGGCAAATGGATGGAACTAGAAAAAATCATCCTGAGTGAGGTAACCCAAACCCAGAAAGACAGTCATGGTATGTACTCACTCATAAGTGGATTCTAGATATAAAATAAAGAACAATCAGACCACAACCCATAGAACCATGGAGGCTATATATATAGCATGGAGGTCTCTAGGATGACTGTGGCTTATAATAAATTTCGGTTTTACTCAATTATTGAAAAAAATAGCCAAATGAATGGAAACACATGAACTATGAACCAAAGGCTGAGGGGGCCCCCAGCTGGATCAGGCCCTCTGAATAGGTGAGACAGTTGATTGGCTTGATCAGTTTGGGAGGCAACTAGGCAATGGGACCAAGTCCTGTGCTCAGTTCATGAGCTGGCTGTTTGAAACCTGGGGCTTATGCAGGGACACTTGGCTCAGTCTGGGGGGAGGGGACCGGACCTGCCT